AAAAAAAAAAAAAAGCAGGCAACTAACTATGAAAGTAGTCTTTCAGGAAAAAAAAATCAAAACTAAAACTGATCAAGGCTTTATATCAAACTAACAATTTATAGAAAATCTGGGGCACAAGGAGCATGCTAAAGGACATCATGGGGGTGCCAACAACAACAAAAAAAATCCAGACTATGGGAAACAAATGCTGCTATAGGACAAATGACCCAGTTTCCTTAAAAATAAAATTGCAGAGGGGAAACAAGATGGAGGACCTTTACCATAAGAAATTTAACAGATACATCAACCAGTTGTAATGCACGGACCTTGTGTGGGTCCCTGTTCAAACAAACCAACTTTAAAAAAGTTTTGGGAATGTGTTATTTGTTGAAGCTAGGTGATGGCTAAAGGGGATGCATTACTTCTCTCCACTTTTGTATGTATTTGGAAATGTTCATATAAAATGTTTAAAAGAATCTACAAAGCAGTATAAGCAATATTTTGTCATTATTTGGCTACAATTAGTGGATTATAGATATTTTTATTAGTTTCTTTTTGTTTTCCTATGATTTGCAGGTTTTTTAAAGATAATTGAATTATTTATTCTCAGAGATACTAAAACATCTCTAGTGTCCAGCATGAATTTGTTTTTAATTTTTTCATATGTATATTTTGTTGCTCAAGTTTTTCAAGATTATTTTTAATTTATATTCTACTTTTATTCTCAGAAAATATCCAAGAAATCTACTTCCTGAGGTGTTAAAAATTCAGAGATAAGCAAGTATTAATAATACTTGTTTTAATACATTATTTTATTTTTCCATTTCAGATTCCCAAATGCAGGAAAATCCTCTTTGCTAAGTCAGGTTTCTCATGCAAAACCTGCAATCGCAGATTATGCATGTAAGTATAATTTGTTGTATATTTTAATGTGTGTAGGTAAACTTTTAAAGACTGCACTTCCTTTGAGTATGAAAAAATGACAACTCTGACGTCGCTTTAGTTTGAAAACTCTTGGCCGATAGAATACATGCATTTCCCATTAATCCTTGAAACCTCTGTAGCCCTCAGCAAAGTTCCTAGCACTTGTTAGGCACTTGCTTTGTTGCATTTATTTCTCTGTTGCATAATCATTTATTTAATTTAATTACGATTTTATGAGCATCTACCCTTTATTAAGCACTGTACTTTCATTTAGCAAGTATTTATTTCTGTGAACTACAGTAGGTACTGGAGTTACAAAGATTGGTAAGCAGAAACAGATACCGTTCTGACTCTTACTGAGCTTACAGACTAGTAGGGGAAGGCACATATATCACACATGACTATGAGGGAATATAATATTCTATGAAAGAGTGTAGGTGGCTGCTTAAAACTCCTTTGGGAAAGTGTGATGCTAGGGCTGAGGTGTAAAGAATACATGAGTGAATCAGTGACACACAGTGGATGTGAAAGGTGTTTCAGCTAGAGGAAATAGCATGTACAGAAAAGCTCTGTAGTAGCAGGGAGATTTGTGTGTCTAGAGAGCATGTAGTAAGGGAAAGAAGGATAAAATGATTAGATTTGCTTTTCAAAAACATCTCTCTGAATAGAATATATAGAGAATGGAATGGCATGGGTCAGAAAATTGGTCTGGGAAAAATATGCTATTGCAGTAGTTAGATGAAATATAATGAAGGTTTAGACCAATGATTGAATGTGACAGAATCTTTGCCATCATTAAACAAAAAGATACAAAACATACATTAACCTGGAAAATAAAAGCCATTCTAAAATTAGACTCTGAGGGAGTAGAATTAATTTTGGACTAATTGCTATAAATTACATAACCAATATTAATTGTTATGATACAGGGACTCTTGAGAAGGAAAGAGGAAGAAAAGCTCAGAGTTGTAGGAAGGAGGCTAGTTTCTAAACTGATGAGGCTTGAGGATAACTGAATGAGAAAAGGACTAGAGAAGTTTCATTGATAGACCCAGTGATAGAAACCTAAATTCTCCTCTACCCACCAACACCTTTACCACAATCCTTAAAGTACAATAAAAGAACTTTGAAGCCCTCTAATTATATTAGATCTATGGCTATGCAGATTATAATTATATTTTCCATTCCAACAAATGAGAACATAATCTGAATTAAATTGTTCACAAAAAAGAAATATTATTTATTTTATACATGAGGCTAAGACAATTTTGAGAGTACCAGCCTTTATTCTAGCCTTAATTTATTTTTTTTCTTTCAGTTACAACATTACAGCCTGAACTTGGAAAGATTGTGTATAATGATTTCAGACAGGTGAGTATTTTTAAAGTAACACAGTTGGTTAGAAGGGAAAGTACTTACTTTTGGCCCTTGGACTTTGTAATATTTTATTGTTTCTGTGGTGTTAGGGGGAGAAAAATTACCAGGATTTTGTTTTTGGTAAATGGAACCATTAACAATTCAATTCTATTGACTGCAATCATAGTAAAATATTGTATAAGAATATAACTTCCTTCTCCTTCCAAATTTTAGGTCCAGTTTATCATTACAGCATCCTATCTTCTTTATCTCTTTGATCTCTGTTTGTTCTCATTGCAATTCCATATTTTACTGCCATATTTGATTATTGATTTTTGTTTCCTAAAAGCATTTTCTAAAGTTCATGGAATTGATTTTATTTTTATTCCAACTTTCTCTTTCTAAAAAAAAAAAAAGGTTTTTTTTTTTTTTTAATTTTTTTTTTTTTTCAACGTTTATTTATTTTTGGGACAGAGAGAGACAGAGCATGAACGGGGGAGGGGCAGAGAGAGAGGGAGACACAGAATCGGAAACAGGCTCCAGGCTCTGAGCCATCAGCCCAGAGCCTGACGCGGGGCTCGAACTCACGGAGCGCGAGATCGTGACCTGGCTGAAGTCGGACGCTTAACTGACTGCACCACCCAGGCGCCCCAAAAAAAGGTTTTAATTGAAGAGGATTCTGGTCTAGCTATTAAGTTATTTTTCCTTGATAAGGAAGAACTATAGATAGTTTGAATAATTAGAGTAAAAATAAATAAAAAATGGAAGTAACAAACTTTTAAAATATATAATGTATGATCAATAATTGTGCTCCTTAGTATTTACCCAAATGAATTGAAAACTTAACATACACACAAAAACCTGCACATGGATGTTTGTACCAGTCATATTCATAAGTGCCAAAACTTGGAAGTAGTCATGATATGCTTCAGCAGGTGAATGGATAAATAAATTGTGGTAATAATGGAATATTATTTAACATTAAAAAGAATTGAGCTATCAAGCCATGAAAAGACATGGAAGAACCTTAAATGCATATTACTAACTGAAAGAAGCCAATCTGAAAAGACTGCATACAGTATGATTCTAACTATGTGACATTCTGGTAAAAGGCAAAACTATGGACATAACAAAAAAATCACTGGTTACCAAGAATTAAGGGGACACAAAGAATGAATAGAAGAGCACAGACGATTTATAGGGCAGTGAGACTATTGTGTATGATACTGTGTTGGTGGATGCATGTTATATGTTTGTCAAAGCCCATACAGTGTACAACACCAAAAGTGAACTCTAATGTAAAGTATGGACTTAAGGTGATGATGTATCAGTGTAGTTTTATATAATCCACTGACCTAATTAAAAGACATTAAGATTTATATTCATTTTTTAATAGTGATATAACAGTAAAAAATGAAATGCTTCCAACAATTATACAGAATATTGAATAATAAAGTTACAAATACAGGATAATATGAATATGGAGAGCAATATTTAGAGGAAAAGCGTACATTGTAAATTTTAAGGGAAACTTAATTCTATCAATAACAAAATTCTCAATGGAGAAACTCCAAACAAAATTTTAGGACATGAAAAAAAAATTTAGGACATGAGACCTCTGTTGTATTTTGTCTAGGTAACTACTTTGTCACTTAGCCACAATTGCCTTTAAAATTCTGAAATCCTATCCACATGGGCAGTTTGTGTAAAGCAGTGCTTCTCATCAATTACTGCACATCAGAATTAACTGGATGGCTTCAGCAGAACAATGATAAATGAAGCCTGAGCTCCAGAGATTTGAAACCAAAATTCCTTAGTGGTCGGGCTTGGGCATCTCTACTTTGTCAAAGATCCCTGGGTGCTGGGGCGCCTGGGTGGCGCAGTCGGTTAAGTGTCCGACTTCAGCCAGGTCACGATCTTGCGGTCCGTGAGTTCGAGCCCCGCGTCGGGCTCTGGGCTGATGGCTCGGAGCCTGGAGCCTGTTTCCGATTCTGTGTCTCCCTCTCTCTCTGCCCCTCCCCCGTTCATGCTCTGTCTCTCTCTGTCCCAAAAATAAATAAACGTTGAAAAAAAAAAATTTAAAAAAAAAAAAAAAAGATCCCTGGGTGTTTATAATGTGCAGTGAGTTTTGAAAACCACAAATGTAAATTAATGGTTAACATTTCAAAAAGGAGTTAATAGGAACATTATGTCCTTTACTTATCAAGAATCTTCAGTAGTCCTCCTGGTAGAACATGAACAAAAAAGGAACAATAGTGCCAAATAATCAATTACATATAGAATTTAAAACTTGAAATGACAGAGCTATACTAAGTAAATGCTGAATTAATATCCTTCTGTACTTTTAAGAATTTACAAAGTTGAAATTCTATGACAGGTTCATATTGAACAATATAATTAATGTAATTCTAAAAAGGATTTATGTTATTAATGTTAAACTAATCCCTAGAATTCTTAGATTATTAGATTAATAAGTAAAACTGGGACTCTAATTTTTGATAACAAAGTATTTTGATTCTTAGAACATTTATTTTGTTATAAAGGTATCTTGGCTTTATAAAGAGTCAGTGGTAATCACAAATTAGAAACTATTTATATTTGAAATATGAAAATCTGTGGATATAATTGTTTTCTTTTTCATCAAACCATTTAACTTTGTATTAGATATCAGTAGCTGATCTTCCTGGTTTAATAGAAGGAGCGCATATGAACAAAGGAATGGGCCACAAATTCCTCAAGCATATAGAAAGAACTAGACAACTACTTTTTGTTGTAAGTCATATGCATACCAATGTAATATACAAATGAATGTGAAAATCAATGAGTTTAGTTTTCCTAGAAATTGTTTATGGCAATAAGTTTTAAAGATAAGGTAGTATCATATGTTATTCCACTAAGTGTTTAAATGGGGGTCAAATACAGTAAATAATTCAATTATATTGTAGGGGTAGAAATGGCATTACTGTATCAGATGTAAATTTGGCTCTACTTTTCAAGGTTTAATTCCTTAAGATTGTCAACATTCTGCTATGTTGTATAGTATCTCTTTCCTACTTCATTTGTGGTGCTAAAGCCATACATTAGATTATCTGTATAAGTACATACAAATTGCCTTATCTATACTGCTTTCTCATTTCATTAATGATTGTAATTTTATCAGAATAATTATAGCTATCCTAACACCACAGTTTCTCTTACTTATTTTGAATTACTAAATTACCAACAGTGTATAGGTTGAGAAATTGTTTTTAACTCGAGAGAGTAAAACATTTCAAAACAGAAATTTATAACTGTTTTTATGTTGTTTTTATGTTAGAGACTGTCTCTTTCCATCTTTTTTTAGGTCGATATTTCTGGATTTCAGCTTTCTTCCCAAACTCAATACAGAACTGCCTTTGAAACCATAATACTTCTTACAAAAGTAGGTTTTCTGTTTTACTGTGTTCTGCATTTGGTCTAATATGTAGGCATATAGGACTGTATTAAATAACAGATAATTAGAATAAATATATGTTCCACCTCTACTTCTTGAAGCTTTGATGTCAAAGAATTATCTAAACCTACTTTCTCCAGTTCTTCTGTATTAACCCACTCTTCAAACTGTTACAACCAATAAAATCTTGTTTGGTTCCAAATCCTTGTTACATATTTCTCAGACTTTATTTTGCTTGAACTTTTTATTCCTACTTTTTAGATTGTTTCTGCATCTATTTTTTGTGCTCTTTCCTGTTCATTGTTTAAGTAGCATTTGGTTACAGTTATACTGTATGACTGATGTATGACAGATATACTGATGACTGCCATATCTGTTTCTGATGCTTAGATCTTTTGGTTGTGCTTTCGATCAGCTGCCTAATAGATATCTTTGATTGGATGTCCCATTAAGTTATCAGACTTATAAAATAACTTAGTTATTTTAGTTAGTATAAAACTAACTTTTTTTTTTTTTTTTAACTCTTCATCTTCCCCAAGAACTTTACTGGGTATATAAACCAGAAACCTGCGTGTTGGTCTTGATTCTATCTTTCTCACCACCTGCATTAAGCCCTGTCAGTTCTATATCTTAAATCTCTCTGAAATTCATCTACTTATCTTCATCCACACTGTTACAATCAGCCCCCCTTCACTAGAATGTAATCTCCTTGTTTCCAGTCTCACCTCTCTCCAGTCCATTTTTTTTAATTGAAATTTAGTTGACACACAAAGTTATATTATTTTCAGGTGTACAACATAGTGATTCAACAACTCTATATAATATGCTGTGCTCACCACAAGTGTCGCCTCCATCTGTCACCATATAATGGCTATTATTATACCATTCTCTAGTCCATTTTTTATTTGGCAACTGGAGTGATCTTTGTGAAAGAATCAAGCTGATGTTTTTTCCTTGTTTAAAATGCTTCAATGGTCCCCCACTGCTGTTAGGTTAACATCTTACCCTGAACATGGTTTTTGAGGTCTGGCAAGAGTTGGCTCCTACCTAGCAGTTCATCTGTGCCCTTCCTGCCTTACTTTCTATTATCAGCCGTATGATTTCTCTTTAACACAGCATGATGTCTCTTATCTCCAGGACTTTTTATATCTTATATCCTTGTTAATTTTTGTCTATTATGAATAATGCTTCTGTGAGCATTTGAATACAGGTTATTGTACGGACATGTTTTCATTTCTCTTGGGTATATACCTAGGACTAGAGTCGCTAGATAATATGGGAAATCAGTGTTTAACACTTTGAGGAACTGCCAGACTTTAACAGAGTGGCTGTATCATCGTACTATTTTATAATCGCACTAGCAATGTTATGTGAGGCATTCCATTTTTTCCACATGAATGCCAACATTTGTTATTGTCTGTCTTTTTTATTTTAGTTATCTTAGTGGGTATGAAGTGGTATTTCATTATGGTTTTGATCTGCATTTCTCTAATGATTAATGATGTTGAACATCTTTTCATGTGCTTATTAGCCATTTGTATGTCTTTGGAGTAATGTCTATTCAGAATATGTTGCCCAATTTTTAATTGGGTTACTTGTCTTTTTATGCTGCGTTGTAACAGTTCTTTATATTTTGGAAATAAATCCATACCAGATATATGATTCACAAATATTTTCTCCCATTCTGTCAGTTTTCTCCACTTTCTTTTTTTTTTTTTTTTTTAAGTTTTTATTTATTTATTTTGAGAGAGCGAGCATGCGAGAGCAAGCACAAGCAGGGGAGGGGCAGGGAAAGAAGGAGACAGAGAGAATCCCCAGCAGGCTTTGCACTGTCAGCACAGAGCCTGATGCGGGCTTGAACTCAAAAACTGAAATCATGACCTGAGCCAAAACCAAGAGTCAGACACTTAACTGACTAAGCCACCCAGGCACCCCAACCCATTACTCCATCAGTTGTCTTCATTTTCTTTATATTTTTTTGAAGCACAGAATTTTACATTTTAATGAAGTTCCGTTTGTCTGTTTTTTCTTTTGCTTGTGTATTGGTGTCATAGCTAAGAAACTTTTGCCTACTCCATGGTTATGAAGATTTACTCCTAAGTACACTTACTTTTTCCAAGAATAATACAAGTGTAACATTAAGTTGTCATTATTTGCTTCTGAATTTTATCTGCTTAATAGATGTCTAGATATCTGTATTTGGACCTTGGCACAAAATCACAACTGTGATTTTGAATTAAAATATTGGAATTAAATTCAATTTGAATTTAAATATATTGAATTATTTGAATTAAAATATATTAACACATGACCTAACCAGTAAGCATTTTATGAATTTTGTCATTTAGTTTTGTGGTTGTTGGGGTTTATTGCATTTCAGGAATGTGAGTGGGCTGTAGATTGATTACCCAGGCCTGCATAGTAAAGATATTACCAAATAGGTGATCTATACAGATATTTTAATACAATTGTTTGGTTTTTCTTTTTTTATTTAAAGGAGTTGGAGTTGTACAAAGAGGAACTTCAGACAAAACCTGCACTCCTGGCAGTTAATAAAATGGACTTGCCAGGTGCCCAAGATATG